TGGGAGGGGTAAGGGTTGTTTTAATAAAGTGTTCCTTAAAAAAAAAAAAAAAAAAAAAACACAACAAAGATTTAAAGACTTTGTCAGCAACAGCAGCAGAAAACTTCTACAACTGGTGCTTGTAATGAAGAGTCACTTTAAGTGGTATGCAAGCTATAGCACACAATCAAGTTAACACAACAAGTTAAGGCAAATTCGCACACTTGCTGGTCTTTTCAGTCGGTGTTAATGATCGCTTAGTGATTCAAAACCGGGTTCTGGCTCGTAAGAAACCAAAGAGAGGGCCTGAGGTGCTGCCACGCATGGCATTAACTGTTTACACAGCAACAACAACACAAACAACATTACTCCCACAGCTCTGAGCCGTTTCAGGAATAGCTGATGAGACATTAACCTAATATTCTGTGCTGAGATCCCCTATGGACAAGCAAACCTGAGTTAAAGCATCAAGACTGACCTGGATGGCACAGGAAAATAGATGAAAGTTTTTGAGCATGTTTAAAAAGCATATTTCATCCCACCCCTGTGGCTGCCATGGCGACCTGCTCCAACCACACAAATCAGCAGGTGAAGGTACCTCCACGTACCTTGACCTCGGGGAATTTAGTCCGTACAACGTCGGCAGTGGTCGGATGGAGAGCAGCAAGTTCCTCATAAAAGTTGGGGAAACACACCAGAGACCCAAGAAGAATCTGGGCCTCGACTCTTGGAGCCTTGGAGGGGAAAAAAAAAAAAAAAAGGGAATTAAATAAATTCCTCAATCATTGTCTATTCACAGCTTGCCATTTTTTGAAAACTTTTAAGTCAGTGTATTCCTCTTTAGGACTCTGTGCATCCTTGTGCCTCACATTGAGCGATGAACATGCAGTGACTCTGGAAGCTGCGATGATAAAGTCCAGGATCAACATGGTGGCTCCGGGAAGTCCGATGCTGAAGAACCTGGGACTGCAGTGCTTGATGATGGTGTTCACAATATCCTGAAGAAGACAGTTTGTCAAAAACACTTCTTCTCAGTATGAAGCAGAATTATAATTTAGGGACAAACTGCTTTGGAAACATTTTGACTAATCCCTCTATTTTCTTATATTTTGTGTCTAAGTAGCCAGACTTGATGGTAATTCTTCCAGTAGTCATGTATCAACACCTCCCCAGGCTTTCTAAAGATTGCTCTGAAGCAGTTTAGAGAACCAGATACTCTGCTACTGTACAGCCATTAAAAAAAGGTCTGATGGCTTTAGCCAAAAAATCTGGAAATGGTCTGTCCCTGGAAGTTGAGTAGGATAATAAGCTAAAGTGGTTGAACATTAATCTTTATCCATGACAAATCCTACAGAAAAGCTCTGAACTGAGCCTAAGAGAAAAGTGCATAAGGTTGTTTGCTCCAACCTTGTCAACTGTTAAAAGATAAGACCAAGACATATTCTAGTGGCAGAATATCCCCACCGTAAGCAGACAGTGGCAGAAATATTTGATTTATTAATGGTATGTTGAACATTTTATCTGCCATTAAAGTGTCATCAAATATTCAATGAAGTCTCCCGAGCTGAGTTGAATTTTCCCCATTGTTACTCATATTGTTTACAATTGAATCCCCTTGTAACACAGACCTGGTCCTGGTGCAGCAGCCCTTGGTGCATGATGTTGTAGAAGTGCATGAGAAAGTCGGTGTTTGGGGAAACGTCTTGACGTCTTTTCATTATTCTACAGATTAGTTTGTAGGCATGAAGCTTTCCCTGCTTGTAACGCTCAGTCAGCATGGTGGCCTAAAGGAAATATGCAGAGACACACAAAAAAAACTGTTTATTTTTCTTCCCTGTAATATGAAGCAAATATATTTCCATATATTTCTTGATCACACTTACCTTAAAGAGCCAGGGGGTGAGGATTCTTAGAGGAGGAATCAGAACAGGAGGTGGTGGGGACGACTGGTTGTCCAGAGAAATCCCCAAATTATCCCTGATCTGAAAACAGAAATGCCACTAAACTCCAATCCCTGATGAAAATTTTAAAATTATTTCCACAGCAGACAGATTTATCTGTACTAACCTTGGCCAAGTTCTGCCACAGCTCACACAAGTAGTCAAAAACCTGAGCATGGATTTCTGGGTCCTTGATGGTGTTAACATCTCCCAGGATACCCAGCATCCTCCTCCACATAACCGTGGCAACATCTGCGTGCCATCCAGTTAGAGAGCCGCCTGCCATCACACTGCAGTCCTCGCTGGGGAACTCGCTTGTTTCTGGAATCAATACGTCAATCAGAGACTCTTGTTTGGTTGGAGGAGAATAAAGCGAGAACACTTATAGGATTTTTGTAATGTTTGCATTCTTAAAACTATTTACCCCCCTCTCCCTTCCCTTCCACCGTCAATTTTACCTAGATCATCTGGGGTCTGGAGTACAGAGCTGTGGAGTTTCTGGTCCAGCTGCAAGTGTGCGTGTGAGTGACTGTGTGTGTGATCAGCGTGCTCAGCTGTCAGCGTGGCTGGGGAGGGGGTCTGGGAACGGGAGCCCCCGAGGGAATGCATGGGCGAGGCACTCTCGGAGCCTAACCAAGAGTCAGAAAGACATGTAGAATTGAACGGAGAACCAAACATCTCCTGATAATAATTGTTCCTGGTGCTTTATTACTGGACAACTTCATCGAAACGTACCGGTAACGGTAACCGTGTGGCTCAGGCTGCTGGTCTCTGAGTCAATGTGGACTGTCGTCAAACTGGCCACTTCCTGCTCGTCACAGGCTAAGCCGCCTCCTAGACTGTCCTGGTCCAGTGAGCTGCCTCGGCCGCCTCCTGTGGACCCCGCTCCTCCTCCACATGCATCTGAACTGAATGCAAAATCTCAAAAAAAAAAAAAAA